GTCTCGACTTGCTTTCTGTGAGTCTGTGCATCTTTGGGACTCTCCCACTCAAGGGTCTCTAGATGGTCAATCTCATGCCACAAGGATTTCAAGGTAGAGAAGTAGACAAAAACTGGCTTCTCTCCTTGTTTAAGGCTATTCACCTCACACTTCAGTTCATAGGCTCTGGCAACATTAACGGGTTGGGAATAGGTTTCTTTCACCTCACACTTCAGTAATTTCGGCTGATATGTGGTTGCATAGAATTACACAGCCATGCCATAACCAAGTAGTTCTCTTGAACCCACTTGGWGTATGTTGGGTCCTCCTTGGAAGGTTCTTTCACATCTCCAAGAGGTAACCCAGTTTTCCCCTTCCTCCAATAGCTATCATGGCTGATTGAGCCCATTCCAAGTAATTTGACCGATCAAATCTCACAGTTGTAATCTGAAACCCGGTTTCAGATACACTACCATAACTGCTGTTCCCAAAACTACTTTCTCCCTGATTTTTAAACTTCATCTTTGGTCAAGAATCAGTAGCTACAAACTGTTAGAGCCACTACACCAGAAAATAACACTTGGACAGTCGGTCAAAACCAGAAAACAGTATGAAATCAATGCAGGTCTGATCTGAAACCAATCTATAATCACAGTATAAGCATGAACTAATGCAGGCCTGATCTGAAACCAATCGGCAATCACAGTATATGCAGGAAACCAACACAAATCTAATCTGAAATCAATCGGCAAGCACAGTACCAGGCTGTCTGTCAAGTTTTTTATCCCCTAGAAGAGCAATCTGAGATGCTATTTTCTGAAACCAGCTTAGAGAGCAATCTGAGATGCGGGAGCAGAATTAGGGTTTCAATCGTAGGTCTGAAATAAGTGCTCAGCCACACTCTCCAAGCAGTCCGTACAGTTAGGACCTGTCGTAGGGTCAATATGAAACTCTAAAACTGATCACCTCTGAGAAAAGGGGGTTCGACCCAACAGTCAAACCCTAGATTAAAGAAAAAAAACCTTAAAGCAGTTCGGCCTCTCCTAGATAGGTCCAACCTATCTCGACCGATAGCAGTCTCTGGAAACTAAATAAAAACTTACTTATGGAATGCTGTTCACTGCCTTCAAGGGTTACCTGAACCCTAGCCTTCGCTGCTTCTTCCTGATTACCAACTCTCTGCAAGTCGCGGCAAGTCCTCAACAGCTGCAAACCTCTCCTGGTAATCTCCAAGAATCAGTCGACGAATACTTCTTCATAAGCTTCCAGCCCTAGCGAGTCCTCATGTGGTCGGCTGGACTAGACACACATGAAAAGCCCTAGATTGGCTCTAATACCAAGTAGAAGATCAAGACTGCAATCAGTCTTGAACCCTAATAGATTTTAGGTTTAGAAAAGCAGAAGAAAAGTAAGAAGGAGAAGGAAGAGAAGAGAAACAGAAGAACACAAGGGTTTGAAAGGAGGGACAGATTCTAACACATCTGCCGGCGCCACTCTCTTAGTATTTATAGGTTATGTTCAGTACATAGAGGAAAGGACAGATCTGCCCTTAGTACTTGCATGACAAATAAAGTAAATAAAAACTGAAATAAACAACAACTGAAATAACAAACTGACCCCAACTGACACTACTATGACTGAAACAAATAACTACACATACTGTCCTACGAACATAGTGAGGACCACTGTTGTGGGGCCCACATAAGTGTTCTCTACAGTGCTAAAGCTGAATATAGGTCCATGGCAAATGGTGTGGCTGAAATTCTATGGTTGAAATCACTATTTGAGGAGTTGGGTATTGCTTATGAGAAGCCCTTAATGTTGTACTGTGATAATCAGGCTGCTAGTAATATAGCCCATAATCCGGTACAACACGATAGAATTAAGCATATTGAAGTCGATTGACATTTTATTAGAGAAAGGGTTGCATCTCAAGAAGTGTGTCTTCCGTATATCACCTCTGACATGCAGCTTGTAGATCTTCTCACCAAGGCTGTTTCAAGGAAGAAGTTAGAGGCAGATCTATGCAAGTTGGGAATGACAAATATCTATTCCCAACTTGAGGGGGAGTATAGAGAACACTGATGTGGACCCCAATGATGTGGTCCCCACCGTATTCGTATGACAGTAGTTGACAGTTAGTTATGTTAGTTATTTCCATTTGTTAGTTGGTAGTTTATTTCAGCCTTTTGTTATTAGTTTTCTTTTATTATTTTGCCATGTAAGCAATAAGGGTAATTCAGCCTTTTACAGTCATTCGAATATTAATATAAATTATAAGAGTGAGGCGGCTATTGCAAGTCACTCTCTCTCTTTTCTGAATTCTCCCTTCGAGTTCTTCTTCTCCTCTTCTCCTTTTCTCTTCTTCTTTACAATCTTTGTTTGTCTTTTTCTCATTAAACCTAGGACAGATTGTAGTCTTGTTCGACTACTCTTACAAACCAAACACAGCCTAATTGTTGTTTTTTTGTACATCATTTCATGTACCTTTGAAGTCCTTCAATATAATCAGTTAATTTCTCTCAAAATAAAATTTTCATATATTAGTTTTTAATTTTTTGACAAGTTTGTAAAAAAAAAAATCTTTACAATCTACAAAATTAACGATTCAATTCAATTCAACCTTCTCTTCAATTTATGAAATGATTATGATTTTCAGAACTTACTAGCATATGCTAGCCTAACAATTGAGTCCTCTCTTTATTATAAATGATATTCTTTTCTTATTCTATGTTCTTCTATTAATAAAATACAGCTAATGAAATAATACAGTTGTGTTTGTGTTAAACAATGTAATCTGGCAATTTCCAGAATACAAAAGCCAGCACATGGTGAAAGTTCAGGAATATTGGTTCAAAATGTAATCTTGAAGAAGATGTTCCAAGGAAGAACTTCACAAGTTCAACCTCATCTCCGTTTCTCTTAAGTAGATAAAAGATCCATAAGCAATTCCATGGTGTTTGTGGTTCAATACCGAGGTTTTTGAAGCCCCATAGCCAGATGGTCGTGAACTGAACAATGATGGGTAGCTCATCCCACCAAAATGGGATGATATGGAAGTCTCAACTGATCCTGTTGACTCAGGAGAAGATGTTCCAGATGACCTTGCATCATCTTCCTGTAAAATCAAATTTAGGTTATTTTCATCCACTGCCTTCCAGAGATTGGTGCAGTTCTGCACCCCAGTTTTCCTGTTTTATTCTTGGCTAACTGAAAGAGATTTGACAAAGCTCATACCTCGGGTTCTGAAGCTTCTAAAAGTGTCTTTGCCCACATATCATCATAACCAACTGAAGGTCTAGAGACAATGTTCTCCTCGCCAACATCTGGAGCATCAGTTCCCGCACCGGCAAGAAATTCATTAACCTAACACCAGGTGGAGAAAGACCAACAAGACATCTCAGAAAGAAACACAAACCACAGATGGCTTGAGAAAAAAACAGTAGGGAATATGTTCCAATAAGCTGTCCAACATTAATCAGACGTTAACTCTAAAATAGAAACTTCCAGAGCAACAGATGTAGAAATGGCAAGATTAACATTTCTATAGGGCACCATATACTGTAAAAAATAGATTTACATGTTATCTTCAACTTCACAACCCACAGTTTACCAACTTCCCATGGCTAAGTTCTTCATAAGAATAATCATGTCAGTAGAGCTGGTAAGATTAACATTTCTAAAGGGCACCATATACTGTTAAAAAATAAATTTACATATATCTTTAACTTTACAAACCCACAGTTTACCAACTTCCCATGGCTTAGTTCTTCAGTAAATAAGAACAGTAAAGTCAGTAGAGGATGGGAAGAATCCATCCTCTGAACTGTGTGATACATGGAAAGCACATAAAGAAGGATGAGATCTGAAACAATATTAAGTTGGCAACTCTTGGAAGATTTCCCATGCATGGAAGCAAGCCAATTTGGGACCCTAACCATCTCTGTACAGTCAAAGGGAAGTAAGGTCATAGCCATGAGAGATGTTATTAAGTCATGGACAGAGTTACAAGAACACAAGACTCTTCAACATGTGTGCCATGTCTGGAGTAAAGTTATGAGAGCTAGAACCTTCTCCAATTATCTTGGCCTGATTAATAATATTATTGAGAATATCAAAGGTTTAATCAAATCATCTAGTCCAATCTATAATATTAGATTCAAAACATATAGCATATCCAAAATTACATACTATATCATCTAAGTTTCTCACCCTGTTCATTGCTGTTGCATTATTTCCCCACAAGCTATCATCACCTAGGCTTGCAGCCCATGCATTTACCAGGTCATCATCAAGTGTATCAGGCTCAGCAGGCGTTGCTTTAGACTCATAGACAAGGTCAGAAATCCCTGTAGCAACAGCTGGATCATTCAGACCAGTTGATGCACTTATGTGCTGGGTGCGATAAATGTCTATGAGTTTTGCGCTGCTCACAACATAATGAAGGTGGGCTTAGAAACAGATATAGATGGGAGAATATATCAAAGTTAAAATAAATGCATGATTAAATCACTAGTGACAAAAACAACAGAAATTCCAAGGTGAACCCTCAAAGGTAACAAATAGCAAGGAAGAGATGAAAAAAAATAATGTCAAATAAAAGAAAGATCTCATAACATTTATATTGAGAAAAAAGGAAAAATATTTAACAACCATATCTCTTTTTTTCTTCCCTTTATACAGAGATGGTCTGTAATTAGTATGTCAAAATGCTGGAAGACAGGAATTGATCCTAGATTGAGGTTTAGAACCCCCACCTCACCCAACTAAAACAAGGTATTTTCTACTTAAGTGGACATCTCTTTTTTTCCTTACTTTTATAGAAGACAATGAAACAGGGCAACTGCCAGACTTTGAATTAACAGATCTGTCTTTCATTCTAAACCTCTCTTCCTCTCCTCTTCTATTCCTCTTTCTCTATTTTCTTCTTCTTTTAACCTTAGAATCTCAACTTGGTAACAAAGCAATCCCAGGATCTTGTTCTTCTTATCACCTACTATAGGTAGTTGGTCAACCAAGAAGCAATGAATGAATCCCTAGATTCTGGTAGAGGGTTCCTTTTAGAAGATTTTGGTGCTGTTTGTGAAGCTATATGATGTTACCTTTTTTTTTTCAGAATTTTAGCAAAAACTAAAAAAACAGATAATGGGGTTTTTATTGGTCTTTTTACATTGAAATTTGGTGAAGGATTGGAGTTCAGTGATGATGCTTTCCACCTATATTTACCGTCCAGGCCAAAAAAAAATCGCTCTCTCTCTCTCTCATCTTACCTCTAATGCTTGTTGGCCCCTTTCTTGATACTGCAACTTTGGAGTTTATTGTTCTAAGAGAAACCTACAATTTGTGATTCATATAGCAGATTGTGAAGGGTAAGGGAAGTTTGTACTATTTTTATTTCTCAAAATGTTACAGAGGTTGCGTCACACCCTCTAGATGTTTGCTGATCTTTCTCAAGGGAAAGAATCAATAGGGTGCAAAATAGGTTGATCAAAATATATAACATAGGCTAGCTATAAAGGGTTACACCTGTTCCCTTTATCCCGGTGCATGAAGTTTGGTGTAAACCTGTTTCCCTAAAAATTGAGGCTTTTTGTTGGGAGGTTTTTCATGGAAATATTGATACTTTGGACTTGTTGCAAAAAAGAAGAAAAATGTTTGTTTGCTTCCAAACTGGTGCGCACCCTGTAGGCAAATGGCGAAACTGGGAATAATTCTTCTCTTTGGGAGCAAAGTGGAATCTACCTACGAGCTTGGCCAGTTTATTTGAAGTCGGAACTTTCAGTTGGCCAAGGGAAAAAGGAAGAATAATGTGGAGATGTACAAGAGCTGCTATTTCATGGGAAGTTTGGGAAGAAAGTAATGCAAGAATATTCAAGGAAAAGGAAAGAAGTATGGAAGCAATCGTTAAATGTAGAGGCATAAATCAGGCTGTGCCACCTGCGGCTTGGCAGGAATTTCGATAGGCCTAGCACAATGGTCTGTGGGCCGTGCCAGGACTGGCACGATTGTACGGGCCATGCTGGGCCTAGGGTTTTAGGTCCACGGGCCAAGCCGACACGACACGACCAAGAGGGCCGTGCCGTCCACGACCCACATGCTGGCATGGCCCAAACCGCAGCCCGGCCCAGCACGGCTTGCGACACAGCCCATATATATTATTTATATATATTTATATAATATTATATAAATTATAATTATATAATAATACATAGTATATAATATATTAATAAAATAAATAATTTTTTTTTTAAATTTTACTATACTAATTTATTTAATTATTGTATATATAAGTAATTGTATACATCAAAATTCATATAAAATTAAAATTTTAAGTTTTTTTTGTCAATTTTTTAAAATAAATAGCTTTGGCCCGACTTGGCCCAAGGCTTGCCCACGGGCCAGCCCGGCCTACGACACAGCACGAAAGGCACAAGCCTGGGCCATGGGCCGTGCCGAGCTGACCCCCACATTATCCTAGGGGAGGGTGGCATGGCCCAACACAGCCCGCACTTTGTGTGGGCTGCCCACGGGCCATGCCGTGCCGGCTCGACACGACCTGTTTTACACCTCTAGTGGAATGCATTATGACAAATGTGATTCATTAGATCAAATTTATAGACCTGTTTTCACCTTGTTAATTTGATTACTTAAGAAGGAAGTGGAGGGAAGTCGCAGCATTGTCAACAAGGAAAAGCAGAACTTAAAAGCTTTGGGAACCACCTGAAGACAACTTTATTAAGCTTTGATGGGAGCCGTTTTGGTAACCTAGGCCCCTTGGGGATTGGAGTGGTGTTTAGGGATAAGGATGGGAGTACAATAGTTTCATTCTTTGGTCTTGTTGGCATAGGGAACTCCACAAGAGCTGAATTGCTTGTTGTTCTTTATGGAGTTCAAAACACGCAACAATTGAACTTGGAGAGGGTGGTTAATGAAGGGGACTCCCAAGTGGTGGTTGGTTGGTTAAAGGATGAGAAGAAGGCAGCTTGGACTAATAGGGATGCTATTACGAAGATTAAATGGTTAACAAGGGAAATGACTTAGCAATTCAATAGGTTCCAAGGGCTACAAATGGGTTTGCTAATTCTTTAGCCAAACAAGAGGTAAATAGGGGGTAATTGTATTGGTCTCAATTGAAATATTTGTATTAAGGGGCTAAGCCTACCCCCTCTCTTGGATCCTCATTGTACATATCTATCTATATTAATGAAATGAAATTATATTATCTGTCAATAAAATAAATAAATAAATAAATAAGGGTTACACACAAATGTATAGAGTAGATTATCAAGGAACCTTTGTTCCCATAGCTAAACTATTTGGACACTGCAATTTTTAAGTACTTACAATTCTTGGCTCCCTTTTTAATGAGATGTCAAGAATGCCTTTTTGAATAGAAATCTTCAGGAAGAAGTCACATACAATTACCACATGGTATTCATGTTCTTGAGAGTGAAGGAATAGTGTGTAGACTAGGGAAGTCTATCTATGACCTGAAACAATCACTTAGAACATATTTTGATAAGTTTAGGAGTGTTATTCAAAGAATTGGACTTAACCAGTTACATGTGAACCTGATAAGCCCCAATTAATGCCAAGAAGAGGAAAGGCCAACAATCAGCTAAGGGGGGGAAATAATTGAACAATTAATCACATGAGGGCAATTATAGCTGGAGGGAACAAGGAGAGTCTTGGGGCATTTATAGTTCTACACTCCATCCCATTTCCAAGTGAACTAAGAGCTTCTTGAACATTGTTAGGTATGGAAATAGAAGACAACAGTGAAACAAACTGGCGATGTGAGGTAGAAAGACGAGATAATGAAACAAAATTGGAAATGGGATGGAGTGTAGAACTACGTTTACCTTTCCGTAAGGGAATGGGTAGGTCAAGGTCTGAAGGTTCAGCAATAGGAGCCATGAGAGGATCCGCAGATGAGGTAGAAGCAGGAGGAGGGGTCGGTGTCGTTCGACGTGTATACACTTGTTGGATCAGTGGTCGTTCAGTGGTGACCTGCACTGGATGAGATGATGAGTCTACTCCAACAACAGCCTCTGGAACTGAATCACTGATAGGAAGAGGAAGAGGAAGAGGAGGTAAGGGTGAGGACAAGGGTGCTTCATGACTGGAGAAGAAGGGGACAGACTCAAAAAAGGTGACATCAGGGCAGACATAGCAYTTTCGGGCAATGGGATTATAACACTTGTACCCTTTTTGAGTCCGAGAGTAGCCAAGGAAGACACATTTAATTGAGCGTGCATCTAGCTTGTCTATTCTAGGACTCAGATTATGAACAAAGCACACACA